GTTTCCTTTTGATTTGAAAATCAAGAGTATCCAACGCTGCTGTTCTCTGTCTCTACACCAGGGGGAGTCCAGAGGGCAGAGATACCAAGAGACCTTGATTTGAATGTTTTACTATTTAATTCAGAGCGTTCGGAGACAAATGACAGAAGAGCAGATCAAAATATTTTCTTTAAAGACCAACAGCGTCTGAGTGGCCTCTCTTATCTGTTGTAAATTAGATGTGGGAGGTCGACAGTCTTTATCTGTTAAAAAGACCAGTTTGTTGGATTTAGGGACATTTAGTGGTAAAGTTGTGCATTACAACTAAATGAATACCCCACCTCACCACACTCCTACAAGAGAAGCTACAATGCAAAAGGCCACTTTAAAGCCTGTGTTTGGTTTGTCCATTCTGGGCTGCTGTAGAAATACGGAGGTACAATTTGGTGTGTTCTGTGGAAGCGGACCTACTGTCAGGGTTGCCAGGTCTTTGGGTTACTTTTGAAATGTTGCTGCCAGGCTGAATTTCTTTTTCATAGTGATGAATGTTTTATAAAATTTCCTCCAAATCCTGCACACTGGACCTTTAATGATCCTTGTGCATGTTGTCTAGTCACATCCTGTACGTCAGTGTTTTTATGGATCTAAAATGAGCCACATGTTCGCAGACATTGTTAGTGGTGTCATTATGACCCAAATAAATACATGACCCTTTATTCCTGTTAGTGGAGCTCTGGCACCACATTGTGGGGATTATTTGCACTGTAGCATTATCAGCATAACACCGCTGATGACTCTGACATCCTGCTGGCCTCATGTGCCACTGCACAAACGTTATACAACTGAGTATAAGTGACGTCACGGTATGTAATCCCCTCTCTCCATGTTTTCTCCTACTTTCCAATCCTCATCCATTCATGTCTGTTATACAAAACATTATCAATTCATGTATTGTATAAATTAAAATTGTAATGACAAATCTGAATGGGATATTAAAACACAGTCACTATTTTCTGACTGAAGCATCTATAGAATAAGAAATACCAATATCAATTAATCAAGGCGTAATGTAGAGATACAAGCCCCTCACCACAACCAGCACATGAAAGATTACATCCTGAGTCACATGATATATATCTATATATCATTATTATTGTAGTTGTGTATTTTATATCGCAGTGTGTGTGTGTGTGTGTGTGTCTTTAGCTTCATTGTTTGTAGGGTCATAGTTTAAGTCATGCTGCATTTATGTTTTGTCTGCTGTAGCGTTGCGAGTGTTGTATAATGCCACCACAAGGATCATTTAGTAGCCAATCTGGAGCTTTGGTAATATAACATGTTTGCTGTATTGCAGATGACTCTTAAGATATAAAATATAAAATATTTTCTTAAGTTGCTGTTTACATGGGCAGTGATGAACTTTAAATCCTCAGCTTTAAACCAACATGCACAAAAAGCCCTAAAAGTGGTTTTATTTCTTATACTTAAATGCGTCACCTGTCATAGATAAAAAAAAAGAAAATCAAGCTTGACACATCTTTGAGAGTATTGGTATATTATTCAAGAAATTGTACTGTAAATATACAGTTTGATATTTTGTGTCTAATCCCACAATAGAACAAATCCCTATAAATGTAAATACATTTGTTTGATTAAAACTTTATCTCATATAAAACAGGCATGCTAAAAATACACAGAAACATCAGCAAAAATAAAGCAACAGCCGACCTCAATTTACAACTGAAGACTTCATGCAAGAGGTTGTATCCCACAGCAGAACAAGTTATTGTATATATTAGTTTATTGCAGCCTGTTGGTGATTTAATGGTGAAGAAAAGTAGTGTTTATTCAGCATAGTTTATGCTCTATGCATATAAACTCCAGTAAATGATGTTGAAGAGCAGGTAAGCCAGGGGAAATATGACTCTGGAGTAAGAGTCTATCATGTAGCTGTTGCTCATGATGAAGCTGAGATTTTGTATTAAAGGGTGCTTGCGGCGTAGCCTGGTCCCCTCTGTGGGTGCAGAGACGGTGGAGTTTCGTGACTGGGTGTTCCTCTCCGTGTTCGGCGTGCTAGGAACCTCCGAGAAAGGAGTCAGGTCAATGTCGTTGTCATGGAAACAGCCGTCAAACGCCATAGCCTGTGTAGCGTTGAAAGAGGAGGGGATCTGCAGCGACAGAGGGAGGAGAGGGGTGTTAGGCTTTGAGGACAGAAAGCTCTAGATAGGGAATTATTTTCTGTAAGACAAAAGTCACATGTTATAAAAGAAGCCATTAGAGGCCGCAAGTAAACTAAATGTGAATGACCTTTGCCCCTCTGAGCTTCTTCATTTCCTCGACTGTGGTGAAATAGTTGACAGCAGCGTACTCAATGACAGACAGGAAGACGAACAGGAAGCTTGCCCACAAGTAGATGTCCACGGCTTTGACGTAAGACACCTGTGGCATAGAGGCTGAGACACCAGTGATGATGGTGGACATGGTCAGAACCGTGGTGATGCCTGGAACCAAACATCAGAAACATCTCCGCTCAATAGGGTTCTGGTGAACAGTTGGTCAAGTCATGAAAACATCACTAAATACAGTAAACATCATAACCAAATTAATTCCAGTTAATATTTTTGTGGTGATAATTCTTTTGTGTATGACTGTCACTCCAAAACAGCAAAACATTATCCACAATTACTGTAAAGTGACCAAAATATTACTTTGCTGGCTTTCATCCTACCTTCAAAATAATTTTAATAAACCTTAGCACCAAAAATGTTAAAGAAATAGTTTGATATTTTGGAAAATATGCTTTTTTTTCTCTTTTGCCAAAGGTTAGGTGGGAATGTTGATATCTGTAGAAAGCGCACTTCTTCAAATGTTGGACCATCCTCTTAAATAAAACTAAAAATGTTGTTATGGTGAATATGACCCTGTTCAGGCCTGGTATTAACATCTGTCCTGAGTGATCTGGTCACAAGTAGACAGCTCTTAGTACGTGCATTCACACCTGGCATTAAAATACAGCCCCAGATGGGTCTCGTGATTGGATCTCACCTCCCCACCCTATATGTAAATAAACTTGTACATCATTTACACTAGCAAAGATTTAATGCATGGCAGCAAGGAGAAGAAGAAGAAACCAAAATAACGCATACAAGACAGAGCAAATCGACCAAGATGTATTGACCCTGCGCTCGTTTCTTAAATACCCGCTGCAGTTTCGAAATGAAGCAAATGTATTTTTTAACTCTTCTCAGTGTTTAAATGTTGATGTGTTTTTTGCCACCACCTCATATCAACACTGATCGCCACATAATGATACCCAATGGGTAAAATCTTACTTAGTACAGCTGCTTACTGCACATTCATTCATTCAGCCCGCCGTGACTCCACTTGATCCCTTTCTCTCTTGATCGCATTGACACAAACGTCAAAAGTCAGACTGGCTAAAAACAACATGATTTGGTCCTCGCAAACAGAAATGGCGTACATGTTAATTTGCAGATCTTTCGAAGTTAGTTCCAATCACAAGTGTTCACTGAATACACATTCAGGACATGCCAGTTGTGAACAGATGAACTTAACACTGTCCGCTTGTGATGGATGTCTCAGGACTTGTCTGAACGGGGCCTATTTTCTTCATCAACTGCGTATATTATGAAGTTTGTGTCTTTCGTAAGAGGCTGCATGTTCAATTAATGTGTTGATGTCTGTGTTGACGCGAGATCTCAGTACCCAGAGAGACACGAGCAGGTACTGCCCTCCTGTCTATCCAGAAGGACACCCAGGACAGCATCACCATCAGCATGGTGGGAAAGTACGTTTGAAGCATGAAGAAGAAGATATGCCTCCTGAGAATGAAGTTTATGTAGAGCCGATTGTACCAACCTGAGAAAGAGATAAATACACAAAAACTGGCAGTGGGGAGCAGCAGGGTTTAATGACAAGAACAAAAGTATAAATCAAGTACAAGGTGGACCTGCAGCAACAAACTAACTACTTTTACTTAGATGTAAAAGAAATGGCTTTCTGGCGTAGAACTGTAGTTATGTAACTGGTCCACTCAAGATTATTTCACACTGAGAAGAAAATGGCCCCTTTCTGTCTGTCACACTGATAATGACAGTGGCAGTGGCAGGGTGGGTTTTGCCATCAGTCATATAACCCTGAAACTAAATCTGACATATTACGTTTTAATAATGCAAAAAGAAAGGCACATGATGACTTTCTTATGTATGAAATTTGAAATAGAAGATGTCAACATGCCATTACACTTTAGTGAATCAATGCTTCAGTCTTCTACAAAGTATTTAAAGGAAAAGTTCAACATTTTGGGAACGCTGCATATTTGCTTTCTTGCCAAGAGTTACACTGCCTACCACTGCAAAGCTTAGCTTAGCATAACAACAGCTAGCTTGGCTCTGCCAGAAAGCAACAAATCCAAATACCAGTAGGCTACATGTTAACACAATGAGTTGTTTTATTCAGTGCAATAGCTAATTAAATTTTTTACAGGGGTGTTATTTGTTAAATATGTCTTGACCAGGTGCAGTGGATGAACTTAGCTTAGCATTATGAGTAGAACACAGGGAACTAGTCTTCAAACAAAACCAGGAAAGTTTTTTCCCCCAGCTTCAACTTTCCCATCTCGGAGCTTGTCAACTATCGTCTGAGAACAAATTGGCCTCTGGGTGAGACGGCCAATATTTTGTTGCGTCTGGTGTAGATATCTGGGCCAAGACTCAGTCTTCTGTTAGCTGTACACTGTATACTGTCCTTTTCTTAGCACCAGTCAAAAGTTTCTCCATTAAGTAAAAAGCAGATAGCGGATGTATTCTAGTCAATGTGTTCTGTCTCTTTTGCAACCAAAGCCAGCTCAAACATGATTGGTCAGACTATAAAACCTTATACCTCGCCAATAGATTCTGCAGAACTATTTGCAGAATCTGTTTATAAAGATCATCTAATTTCTATGCTAAACTAAGCTAACTAGCTGTTGGCTGTAGCTTCATATTGATGAGAGTGTCATGAACATTGTATTATTTTTTTCTCTCAACTCTCAGCAAGAAAGTAAATAAGCTTATTTCCCAAAATGGCAGTGAAGTGAAAGGACAGGATGTTTAGACCTACATCCTAATCCTAACCCGACTTCTTTACAGAGTATAGAGCCATTCAGATTGTATGTGGATGAACGCTAGTGTTTTATTGTCTGGCGTGTGTGATAAGATAAAAAACAGGAGCCCTTTGGTTGTACGCAAAAGCCACGCACAGCTCAGAGGGCCCCCGTGCCTCCAACCTCACATACCAGTACTGCTGTAGAAGGCAAGTCCAAAGGAAGGCTGGAAGTCTTCAATAAAAAACTGAGAGAGCACAATCTCATCAGTCCTTAATGAATCGTTCCCGTTCTTCCAGTAGAGCATGAGATCATTCTCATTGTAAGCATCTTCAAGAGAGGAGAGAAGGAGGGGGTGTCACCTTCACATGTTGCCTATCTTAGAAGAGTGGATGTTTTTCTCAGAGGAGAGGAGAGAGTGAGTGGAAACGGGACACTACTGACTCTCCTCTGAGATCAGGATCCATGCTTTATCCAGTTAATAATGAGAGAGAGAGAGAGAGAGAGAGAGATGAAGAGAAAGAAGCAGACAGATAAAAGAACCCCCACAAATGCTATAAAGAAATCCCGACTCTATCGTCAGTCATGAGCATCTTCAATAATCCCTTGTAATTCTGCATCAGTGAGACAGACGTATATTTAATGCACAGAGATTGACCTGATTGAGGATTATGACTCTTTATTCCATGTAATAAGAAGACAGTGAGGGTTACTGTGTGGTTATGGAGTATAGTAATCCACCCTGAGCTGTAATATGCAATGATTATGTTTACATGGACAGCAATACAAGACATTAACTTGATGATGATGTTTACATGAGGGAAGTGCAGTGGCTAGTGCTGTCACCTCACAGCAAGAAGGTCTCGTCTGTGTGGGTTTTCTCAGGTTTCTCTGTCTTCCTCCCACAGTACAAAGACATGCAGGTTGAGTTGTAAAGTGTATTAGGACGATATAATTAGATTATGTTTACATAATGCGACTAAAATCAGAATACTCCACGTCTTAATTCTGCTTGTCGAAATATTCCTTATTCTGTGCATGACTTAATTCAGGTTAAGGGAATCAAAAATTTTGTTTTGTTTAATTATTTAACAGGCTAAAAGATTTCTCTATTTAAGTTGTTTACTATCAGTAAAATACATCAAGCAAGCCAATTATTTGCAGTAGACTTTTGTTAATATTTAATGCAGTAATTGTAACATTGTATTTCTGCAGGCATAGCACTGAATATGTTATGAGCAACAGTGCCCCTGCTGCAGTTTGATACTCACAGCTCTCCAGCTCCAGAGAGCAATTCTGTGTGTCCAGGGGGAAACTACTGAAGTCCATTGAGCAAAGTGCCGTCACAGTGATCCTGAAACATAGCTCAGGGTTAAAGAAACCCCAACATAATCATAGAAAATGTTATATTCACACTGATGGATGACTTTCAGAGTTTAGATGCATAGAATAACCTTAACCAGTCAACTTGTGTGTGAAATGTGGTATTAAACTGGACCAATTTGTAAGTGAGCTGATCAGTTCATTTAGTGATTGCCTTTGTGACAGGGCCTGTGGTCATAGAGTGCTGTAAGGGATGACGTCATACATCTGTGGTTGAAATGGATATTGTGACTGTGGTCTTAAAGCTCTTCATATTGCTTTCAGGCTCTAATTGCTCAACCTGGCTGGGAGATTTATTTCCTGACTGATGTCCCTTTTAAACCTTTAAAATCTTAAATGATTTTTGAATTATTATACTCACTGAATTACATTTATAATGACGTTTAAGCTTAAAGCAGGACCACATAACCTTTGATAGTAGAAGTGATGTAGCTGAATGCAACAATAATGTTGTTCCATCCACTTCTGTCTGATGTTTGTATTGCACCTTTCTGGCATCAACTTGAGAATAGGAGACTTGTTTTGTAATAGTAGCAACAGTAGCAGCTATTCATCCAGATCAAATAGTCTGACTTTAACTGTTCCTACTTTAACCTAATCTCTTTATGAGCAATGAATAAAAAGGTTTTTTCTCACCTGACACTGTAGAGGATGTTGCCATCAGGAAAAACCCTCAGCATGATATTCTCCATGGTTGTATCATGGATGAACGAGCGTTTAGAGTGAACAAAGAAAACATCAGGAACCCAAATTTTCTTCACAAGACGTGCGTCAAAGGTACGACTCTTGTTGCTGCTGGAAGGAAAAGCCAGTCGATCGTCCTGCCAATAATGCCTCAAGTACAAAGTCATAGTAAAGTCCTAGAAATAAAGTAAAATAAAAACAAAAACAGTTGATCAAGCCCAACAGTGAAATTTAGGTATTCTGTTTCAGCAAATACTAGAAGCACGTACCATGTTTACTTCCGATATGCTATCAATGCTCTCTACCTGGACGTCGATGCCGACTGGAATAGCTGAACCTGCAGAGGGTCAAACGTTTAATGGATCAGCTTTAAGCAGAAGTTAAATCACATCCTCTGAGAATCTACCAGAGATTATATGTGTACAAATCCCAACACTGAGTTACATGACATGGACCACAGCGTACAGGTGACAGAGACTAAAGGTTGGATAAGAGCGATGACCCTGACATCATTCAGCTTCGTAAACACGACTCAGCTCAGAATTGTGATCAAAATAAATACTTTAAAAGAGATTTACTCAGAAGTGACAGATACACAGCACTGTCAAGTCTCCTACTCACACAGGAAACACAAGATGCTAGAAAATCCTTGAGAGGCAAGAGACAAAGGAAACTATTTGATCCATTGTTTTCTTTATGTCTCAAGAACAAGTGAAAAAAGTCTTTGCAGTGATAATTTTTAGTTTTTAATATTTGTTGTTGTTATACTCATTTTATCCACTAGAGGTTCAGGTGCACCTTTCCCCGTGTCTAAACAGCCTTGAGAGCATTTGTGTTTTTTCTATGTGAGTAATTAATTTGTTTCATCTTCCAAAACTTTCCAAATAGTTTTCTCAGATTAAGAAAATAACCAAGCTAAATCTTTTTCCACTTTTAAAAACCTATATATCCCACCTGCATCGAAAATGATTAGAGTTTTTTTATCATTTGTTCTTAAGTCATTAACACAGAGGAGAATGTAACGTAGGTCAGACTTAGAAAATGGATAGCCAGAATTTTCTCTCAGGACTTCCACATTAGAAGTACTGAAACAGTATTATCAACTACACTAAATACTAAGTACATCACCCTAATAACTATATCACCTTATGAGACTACATACATTTAATTTATAGACAGCTAACTTAAGGGCACTGCTACAATTTTGGAAAAATGTAAACATATGATCTTTTCAAAACTAGACATTTGTAGACAAACAAGATATCCAAAGCAGGTTTGTACTATTTATGAAATCTGGCCTTTTGGAATAACGGGTGCAGTACAGTGACTTCCATGGATATAATATCCCTTATGTTATGTAGTTAACATCTTACAGATTTAATAAGCACTAATTCATTTATGAATTTAGGTTCTATGAAACACACCTCAAAGGCACCAAGACAAACACTGATGCCAACCATCCTGTCAATTGACTTTTTTGGTCATGTGAGTTTTGTGAGCATGTGAGCCAGGATCTAAATCAGTGGTTCTCTTGCCATTTGTGGTTTTGTTGTCTGAAACTGAAGCATCAGCCCTTCACTGAGGCCTTTCAACAAAAAGGTTCAACCTGCACCACAACCTGCGTGCAAAATATTTTGTCACTTATTATTGTTGTCTTTTAAAGCCATCTATTAATAACTAAATAAATGTGATTGTCAGTTTGTGTGAAGACCAACTGAGACAGACACACACATGCAGGAGTCCTGCATGTGTGTGTCTGTTTAAAAAACAGGAGATAACATTTTTCCCTCAGAATATGAAACAACGCAGTGTTGTAACTTCATTGTTGCAGAAGAAGCAATGCCCCCATTTATCCAGGAACATATTGAATGCTTTCTATGTCATTGTCCACTACTGTAAATGTATGTGAACTAAAAACAATCCAATGCCATTATCTAATGAAGGTAAGCTCTCAAAACCATCAGTCTACGATTAGAATAGGTTAGTGAGGTGGGAGGGATTATATACGGCAGCTAGGGTCCCGGACCAAAAGTCCTCATCATTTTTTTCATTTGGGCGTAAAAGTCACGCAACAAGAAGCAAATGCAGTGATGCAAAATGTCAAAGGTATAAAATCCATTATTCAAATCATAATGTCAATTTGACAAGAGAGTGAAACAGTATTCACAAAGTAAAGGATTAATAACATTAATTATTAATAACATAGCGGTACACAAGAACTTTATTGTTCATAAATTAAACTATAATGAAACTCAATAGCGCACATACCTCTGTCAAGGCCCAGCATGCCTTACATTCATTCAAGTTGCACACACTCAAAGATTTGGTTCCCCTAAATATGCCTGATTGATGAGCCATGATTTATTCTCAACCTAAACTACTCCTGGATCTGGCCAATGAGTTAATGGCTTCTTCCTTGGTCCTTGGTCTACCCTTTCACTGAATTTCAAAAAAATTGGATGTGACACAACCACTCAGGAAGCAGACAACAAGTCACAGAGCAGCACTCCAAAACTTTGTGCAATAGCTTTTGTATTTGCTCTGTTTTTAAAAATGTGGTCATCTATACCAAGCTTAAACCTACAAATTTGTAGATTTGTGCCAAAAAAGCTCTGACAACAGTTTGTTAAATGTCCTCTAATGCCAGGCTTTTCTTTTTTCCCTCTGCAGAATTAGGTTCACAGTTGAGATTATTTTATCTGTACTACTGTCTGCAGTCATTGTCTCACACTGCAGACAATCTAGGTCACTGTTTTTTTTTTTTGGAGGCCTATTACCAAAGACAGCACAGTAACCTACATTTACCTCACTGAGGTGCCCAGAAGGTGCATGGTTATTAAAAATAACAAGAAAAAATTAAATACGAAGAGGGAAACTAAATCGATTTTTAAAAAAGATGGATATCTGCGTGTCTTACCTCCAAAGCCCGGCCGCATCGCAAAGTCATGGTCTTCAATCCGAAGCAGCTGCTCAGATTTAATAAGCAGAGACTTGGTGCTGTCCAGCTTTTTCATCTTAAGATCCACCCGCCTGACGAGCAAAGAACAGATAACAGCTTGCATTAAAATCTCCGTCTCCAGCTTTCTCTTTCTAATGCATACTGGAAACAGAGCTGACATCTGGTCCAGGGTGTTAGTGATGGTTAATTGGACTTTTAGCACGATGATTAAATCCAGAGACCTCAGTCTAATGAGAGTTCTTTTACTTTCGGTGAATCAACAGATTTTAAGATACCGACGGGTCTGTCTTGTATCTGTCTCATGAATTGCATCTTTATCGCAAGCTTTATTGATGATCTAACTCTTTTTGTTTTCATTAAGCAACATCAACATTACATCACCGAGTTATATCTTCTTTATCTCTCACCTCAAAAGATCCTATGACCTGCTCCTACCTCGAATCTCTGACGTCAAACAAAAAACGAAAACCATATTACACAACCATACGTGCATTCAGTTGAATATCATCACAAAAATAAAATGGATGCCAGACATCAAGAGGACAATTTCTAACAGCAAAAATCAACTGAACAAAGCAACAAGTCCCACTTGTCCTCACCCTCCATGCTTCTGTTTGGTGTTCTCTCCGACATACACATCCTTGTGTCTCCTCTTGTTCGGGAAGTGGCTGCCGTGGAGCTGGGTGATGGGCCACAACCAGGCCAACCACATCAGTCTGAAGGCCAGGAGGGCCACTCTCATGGTTAAGCTGGGGCTGGAAAGACGAGAGGAACCCGCACGTTCCTCCCACTGCGTCAGCGTCTCACCCAGGGAATGCCACAGCTGCCCCCGTCCCCTACTTGTCCGTCCATGTCCCAGCAGCACTCATTCCGCCACGCACACCCCCAGCTACTTGTGCGTTATCCTGCTCTCTCATCTCCTGTAACATGATCCAGCACTTAGCTCCGGTGCACAGGCATCCCCCTGGCTAAGTTTGCTTGTCACTGTGCCATCCCTCTGCTTATGTCTCCTGACACAACATGTTCCTCCGACTCCCCCACCCCCTGATTTAAAACCAAATATCAATTTATTCCTATAATGACAAAGGAATACCATTAATTCCTCTCTAATCTTCTTATCTGTGGTTGGTGAAATCTTTCAGTAACCTACAAACTGGCGGCGGCAGAGGGGCGGGGAGAGGGGGCGGGGGGTAATACGACCAGCAGTTTCATCATCATTCTGGCCAGATAAAAATAAAAAGCCTGTAGCCTACTTTACACAGTACAGGATTTTCCATAGAGTTGCACACTGCAGTGGTGGGAGGATGTGAATGATCCCATCCAGAGGAAACAGATGCAAGCCTATGTCTGGGCCACATCTGCAAACGTTGCACTTGTGGCCCCTGAGCAGATGTCATTCATAGCAGAAGATATGACTCCTAACTGAGGATTTGAACTGGTTTACACTCATCAAATATAAGAACACAGGAGCATGGGGTTAGGGTTTTTGCAAATGTACCTATGGTCCAATCCCTAACAACATTATTCACAACATGAAGTCACAGAACTGCACCTTTCTTTGGTTTAACCTTCAAAACCCTTCTGTTTTTCAGCCCATTTTAGATCCTGGTTAAAAGACTCTTTGTTTTTTCTTAATATTTAGAAATGAATACTTTTTAACTGCTTTGCTACGGCATCACTATCAAGCACTCTACATATACAACATAATGCATTTTAGTACAGATGATGTTTTGTGCTTGTGGTCTATGCACGATAGTGCCCATTAGACATGAGTAATTCAAGCCTGTTGCAACTTTGAAATAAAGAAATGACATGGAAATACAAAAGTTTATTAAAACAAATGTATTCAATGAGACTGTATTTCATCAAGGAAAGATTGAAAACCTCCCACACGCAAGAGGAAACTTGATCAGTATCAATAGTAACATCAGAGCATGAGCAGAATGACTCCGCTCCAGTCGCACCATCCCTTTAATCTGGGATTTAAGTTGATTGAGGGCAGACATGAGCAATGGCATCTTAAAGAATCATGCACGTGGACCTTGTTTCACTCGTACATGTGACCCCACAGCTGCTGGACAGCAGGCAGCTATTCACATGCACCAGGGACATCTCATCTGTGCCCTCTACAGGTCATGTAGAGGGCATCTTCTGTTTTTGCCAAAATTTAGAAAAAATAAGAGCATTATCACAGACAGATGATTTGCATTCCATATTGCTTGCAACTAATAATGAAGCTTTTATTTATCTATTTTATTTGTGCTCTAAATCAGTAATATCCCATCATCCGTTTTTTCTATAAAAAAGTAAACATCTGTGAAAGAGGGCGTTTCATTGTTGTGTTGTGTCTGACAAAGCATTACAATTTTGAACTTAAATAAAATTTATGAAAGCTCATCGTGTTTTTCACAATGGATTTTATATGATATCAAATGCTTGTAGAATTTGATAAAAGCAGATTATTCAGAAAAAGTGCAGATAATAAAATAACTCTTAAGGGTATACAGGATTATCACTTTAGTGCATTAGGAAGAGACAAAGGCCTAATTTTCTGACAAATAGTAATAACAATAACAATGATTATAATGATCCATCATTTATTTCTCCATTTATCTCTCCATCCATCCACCCATCCAACCATCCATCCTATATAGGGCTTACCCTTTTGGAGCAATAAACAATTAAAAGCAGTTTGAAGATCACACAACATTAGACTAAATTATAGTAGATGTATGAGGGTAAAATAAGATGAGCAAAGAGTAAAAAAACTAAGTAAAATAAAACATGATTAAACAAAAATAGTTCAACTAAAAATGCTTAAACTGGTCAGTAGAATCAGAGCCAGGATTTAAAAAAAACGTTGTACAGTAACAGGCTGAGAAGTTTAAAAAAGGTAAAAGAGAATTTAGACTCCAAGTCCAGAGAAAGCACTCGTATAGAAAATGTGTCTTTAAGAGAGATTTAAAAGAGTTGTTGTCTCCTATAATTTTATATCTGGTTTTTATTTGTTTTATTTGGCATTATGTGGGTGTGAGTGGTTTGAGCTTGTCCTTTCAAGATAAAATCAGTCAATATGTCTACTTATTATGAATATTTAAACAAATGCACAGTGTTAGTTCAGTGTGTGTGTGTGTGAGTGTGAGTGATGCAGCACACAGAAGCAGTGTGGTTAAACGTTCACCCGCCTGGTTAATTAGTCAGTGTTTCATTAGTGTTAGGAAGGATGTAAAGTGGAATCGCACAGACACAGCTCACTGCACAGCCGTGTGCTTTCACACACATGCGTGCCAAATCTGTTGCAGGAGCAACACCTCAGAGCAGAGGCCGTCTGACATGGCAGACTCACAGGGACTCATGACTGTGCTTCTGATTTTCTTGGAGAAATTGTTATTGACAGACTCAAAAGGTATCGTAACATGACCTCTTCTCCTCGTGTTTATCGATGAGCAGCTTGTTCTGACTCAAGATGACAGATTACTATTGAGTTATCCTCTAATAGTAGGATGATCTGATATAGTAAATTGTCTGTGCTGTGATATGAGTTCACATGATGATTAGTCTTTTCAACACCTGAATACCAACATGGGGGATATTATTATATTACAAGGAATTATTTGCAAAGACCTGAGAGTGATTGAAGTTTTGTCTCGGTGAAAATGCAGCTTAAAGAGAGCTCATTACGTCTGCTAAGGTTTTGTTATCATCTGAAAGTTTCTTTGTCTGTTTGTTTGTTAGCAGGATTATGCAAAAACAGATTACCATGAAATTTGGTGGAAGGATGCAGTTTGTTTCAGGGAAGATGCAGATCCAAGAATTCTTTTTCACTTTCTTTAATGTTGTGTTTTTGAACATTTTCATTGATTTTGAATTCTTGGATCTTGGTAAAAACAAGCCACGTTTAAGGGACTGATATTGATAAGTGTGTGCAATGTGGTGCAGATCAAAATAAAAAGCCGGACATAGTGAATTTAAATGTGGTTTCTTTAGGGGGCACTCTCCGAACGCCATCTTAGTTTTGGTAAACTACCTAAAGTACCTTGAGAATATGTTAAGACAGTATTTTTATGGTAGAAACTGTGGAACTATCAATATACTGATGATAATCTATTTGCTTACGCATGCTTGTAAGGAGAAGGCAAAACGAGGAAAACAGTAGATAAGAAAAAATAGCTGCTCTTTGTCACTTCCACTTTTTAAGTTTCATTCATCCACTGAGCAACAAGGAAATTCACTTAATCTTCCCCATTTCATTTGAAAATGATTTACCAGTAGTTCATATGATGCCAAGTTTCATTGAGCAGTCGTGTGTTTTGAAGGATGACACAGCATTAAAAAAATGAGAGCTGTCACAAACAACATTAGTTTGCCTTCATTTTTCCACACGAGGAGCAAACACAGCTGCGCTGCGTCCTCAGCTGTGAAAGCTGAGCACATCTGGAGAAAATATTCAGCCACCATCAGGGGTGAAGTCTGACAACAGCAACTTTATTTTAGCTAAACAAACAGCTCAGATGTTTAAGAGACAATGAAATCTGTTGAACTTGTTAATCAAATTTTGCATTTTTATTAGAGTCATATTAAAGTTTTGTTGGTACTTTTAAAGTTTAATCAAGCCTGAAGAAGACAGCACTGATGTGGCTGCAAAGTTAGAAAAGAAATGAATCTGGATGTATTTATCTTGATGATTGCTCTTCCATTTCAAAGTTATACCAGATACCAACGTCACCTGTATCATCCAAGACGACTGCATCCTGCCCTGCAGCTTCCAACCCACCAGCACCGTGGTGATCCACTGGTACAAGCAGCAAATCCCTGTGCACAGCTACTACTACAACAAGGACCAGTTTGGACTCCAGAACAAACACTTCAGCGGAAGGACCTGCTTGTTCAACTCGCACATCCCTCATGGCAATGCCTCCCTGCTGCTCAGGAGGGTCAAAGTTCAAGACAGGGGCAGGTACAAATGTTACACGAGCACACGGAAGGGCAACCAGGAGATCTTTATCAACCTGGAGGTCAAAGGTCAGTAAAATGTTACAGTATTACCTTCAGTATATCAGAAATGTTGTGTATTTCACTCATTTTGTTTTAAGATTTCTTCTTTGGTCTAAAATTGGTTAATTCTGCTATGATGAAGTTGTGAGTAGTAGAAGTGTCTCCATTCATAAATTATCGTCAAGGTTGTAACTACAGGGTGGAACAAGTGGCTCTTTTTTTCCACTCCTGCCCGGAGAGACTGGCTTTTGTTTGTGTTTTAATAGCAAAGAATTTGAAAAGCAAACAGCTAACACCTAAACTGTTAATGGTTATTTGTCATGTAATATAGAAAAGTATTTGTTATATGTTCTGTTTCCAGTTTAGTAGGTACACCTAACTACCTTCAAATTCTCTGAAGGTTATGCTGATGAAACAGAAAGGCACTGAAGCAGTCATTCCACTTTGTTGTTTTTCATGTCATTGTATTGCAACTGTATGGAAACCCATTTCAAGATAAAACAAAATGATCAGATTAAGATTAATCCCATAAGAATGGGATTCAAAAGTCATAAATATGGGATTCAAAATTGATTAGGAGATAAAACAGTTGAAATCATTAGATACCTCATATTTTAAATATCTCATAACTATGACTTATTATCTCATATTCATGACAATGTATTTATTTTCTCATAATTATAATGTTTTGATGTCATATGATGACTAAGTAATAAGATTACTCACTAACTGCTAATCATGACTTTT